CTGCACCCACAATAATGAAATCGTATTCGATGCTATGCTCTTCGTCAAATTTTTTAGAATCTGTAAAATGCTCGTCGTAAGAATGACCAAAATATTGTACGAGAAACGACAAAAACGCTAAGGCAGCTGGCTGACAATCGGGTAGCGATGGATTTTCAGCACAAACTAACGTATTGTTTATTGGTGACCACGTCATGTTCCTATAATATCTGCGTGTCAACTGACAAATTGTCCACTCGTATGTTGGCTGATATCTTAATAATACATCTTATCGTTGCTGCTTATCAAATCAAGGGAATTTCCTTATTATTGTAATTTTTGAGGCAAGCCAATTATTGTATCTGTGTTGAAGATTCGAAGAATACTTAATTAAAGTGTTTAATATTTATGCAACCTTCAAAAACTTCTGAGTTAGTGAAAGTAAATCAATATTGTATTTCGAATGCTGGGACTTTCTCATCAGTACAGTTTAATGTATTTTAATTTTGCCTGCCAATTTTATATCAAACCAAAAATAAAAATGCAAAATTCTAATCGGTTTGCATTAAAAATCATCAATGCAATTGGTATCGTAGAGATAACATCAAGTTTAATATATTTTTATGGAATATGACATAAAATAGATGTCAGACAATATGTTATCACTGAAACTTAACTGAATGTTCTCTATAATTTCAGTTTGAATAATATTTCACAATCAAGCGTTTAAATAAAAAAAAATAATAAATAAGTTATGATTTATTATAACAAAGATTAGATTAAATGAAATGTTAGATTAAAAAATCATGTATTTATAATAAAACTAATTTATACCAGATTTTTAAGCTACGAGATAACCGAAAACGGTAATATCGACAATATTTCTGTGAATAAATTTAATCGAACGTTTTAAAATTTATTTGAACACAACTTATATAAGAAATTCTTTGATCTTTCAAACATGTTGTATAAATCTGGCCTATGCTATATTGCTATCTTTCTCCTGTGTCATACTTCATCGTTATTTATGTTGTACGAGAGTTAACGTTCTGCTCCGCGAAAAATATTCAAGTATAAATATTATTATTGCGGATTATGACATTGAAAGATAAGGAAAAGAAATTTGTGCTTGTCAAAAAAGCTGTTCTTTCAAACTGTTCAATGAAGCAAACAAAGTTTTTGGAATCGCGACTACCGAAGCAATTAATCAATATTCAGCTTTTTTGCTTGCAAAATCGATGTGCAACTTTTTCCATGAGATGAACGACACTAAAATTTAATTCATCAAGACGAGTGGAATGTCACTTCACGGCAGCTCTCCTGTTTTTATTTTATTCCTCGATACACATGCTGATGAAAGCACCTTATTCGTCGCTCAAGTTGTTCCTCCGTTCTCGAGATGAATTTTTTGGTAAAAACGAAGAAGGAAGCACGTTTCGGCGGAAGATTACAAGGCGCGACAGTTACGCATTATTCGCGGGAACGCGAGTTTTTCGTTGGCCCGATTATGATAAGTGCAGCGTTTAAGATTTCTCGTTTTCCAATTTTTTTTTCGTCACGGCTTACGTGGGCTTCGTATAAACCGTTGTCAGCTGTAAAAAATTATAGCGTTTTTTTACGCTCATACAACAGTACTTTCACGGCACTTTTGAAGAAATCATTTGGTCCCTTCAACGCATTCTTCAATTAATGAGTTTCTCAAAGTTCAAATGCCTTGATTTGATTAAAACTGAACCTTCTTTCCCATCGAACGCTTGGAAAATTTCGCTCGTTTATTCCCTATGTCGGATGGGTACTTTCTACAACATACTTGGCTAACTGCAAAATCAGTCGGTATTTTATCCCACTTTGTAGCTTACAAGCCGTTGTGTGAGGCCTCGAGAGTGTCTATCAATTAATTGGCATAAAAGCAAAAGTAGCAACAACGCGGAAGGTCGTTTGCCTGGCACCTCGTTCCGAACATATAAAACAGGCCTCTAAATAGGCGCGGAGGCGCGTATTGTGTGGCACGTATACGTGAAGCCGCGTAACATCAGCCTCCCCCGATTTAATTGGCCGCGTAAAGTCCGAAAAGGTCGACCTGTCCGCAGCGACGGCCAGAGCCGGTTTTACTGTTACCGCTCGAGAGAGGACGAAGCGAAGGGTCATAGGTGGCGTTTAAATATGCGCTCAGCGCCTCTCTCCCTGCTGCGCTTGTAATTAAGCTCAGGCTACACGGGCTTTGTTTTTAGCTACGGGTACCGAGCTAACGTTAACGGGCTCCCGCTCTCTGTGTGCCAAATTATTTCACGTGTATCTCGTGGATTTTTCTTTTCGCCTCGAACACCTGCCGCCGATATTAACGGGCCTTGGCATGACAATTTTCTATGCAGCTCCCCGAGCAGGGACTGGAAAAACAGTCTGAAACGTCGAATCAATACAAGTTTGTGCTCCGACCGGTGCGCGAAGCACTTCCTTGTCTCGTTAAAGTTAGTACATCTCTATTAATATTACATTCACTCATTTCAATTTATCCCTTGTTCCATCAAAAATATATCGAGTGCGAGACAATTCCACAACACCACCTATCCAAAGTTTAAAACGTACAATCCGTCGAAAATCGTCACTTTGAACTATTTCCACCTGCAAACATCGAAACTCAAATATGTGTACGTCTTATCAACGTCGAAGAGGATATAGTTTACAGCAATCGGAAAGCCATTCAATTACACGTCGAATATCCTCGGCGATAAGCGCGTAGTGGATGTCACGATAGGCAATCTGAAAGCCAATTTGAAATTTCGTGCCGACACATCCCGCCGACAGATAAACTTTCGGCGAAAGCTCTTTGGACCTAATCTCGCACGGGGCGCGCTATCTAAATAGTCGTAGTGCAGCAACCGCGTCAGAGGCGCATCAGAAGAGGTTCAAAGCGCGCGTTGCGCATATCCGCGATAAAGCCGCCCGATCGGCCGTAAATTCTGCGGCTAATAGAATGCCGAGCGCGAAGCGCGAGCGCTCAAGATCGAAATGATTTTTTCGTTTTTGTCACCTTTGTCATGCTACAGCAAATTGACAGTGAAGCTCGCTGGCCAAATGTCTCGATTGGCGAGAAAGAAAAACTGACACGGAGGACAATAAGCGCGAAAGGACCGAACGAGACGGAACGAAGCGGAACGGGGATAGTAAGCTCGCGGACAAATGCAAGCGCGCGAGGAGGAGGTGGAGATCGCGTTATCGGGTGTGAGCTACAAGATGCTTCGTCGCGTTCTCCGCAGCAAGCAGCTCGGAAATGGGATACCCGTGTAGCCTGCTACCCGTGTAAGATACAGAGCTAGCATCTGCGAGCGCGCGGACGTATAGCCACAAGTGCCGCTGATTGTGTGCTAGTAGAGGCAAGATTGATTGGTTTGGGTTCTAGCTGGCCTCGCTGTTTTTTCAAGGATTCACTGTGCTCTGAGACTTTCTCTCTTTTTATTTTAGTCCTTATGAATATGACGCGAACGAGGAGGCGCTGGTTCCTTAATTCTAATTTAGCTGTCGTATTCATGAGAGCTATTGAACAAATGACGAAGAATTGCATTATGAGTCATTTTTTAGCCATATAAAACTTTAAACACAACGGGGATCAACGACATTCCAACAGCAAAAATTACGCAAAGTTATCTTTCGACAATAGAGTTTGTAAAAATTTGTGAAAATCCAACCTAAGCGCATGAATTGTAATTCAGCTCTCGATGACACTCAACTCAAAACCTCGTGCATATCTCCACGCCACAATAAGAAAAATGAAAGGTTAATTTGCATCGCTGCCCATAACATAGAGAAATCCAAAACGAAAAATAAAAAAGAAACATCGAGCAACATCGGTGGCTGCGGCGGCACCTGCGCAGCTCAGGCATTGCGAGCACGTAGCTCAATCAATCGCCGTAATCGGGCGGCGTGATTGGAAATTCCAATGGACATTAATCGGTCGTCGCCGCGCGTAACGGTTTCCCGAAACGCGGCTTACTGCTGTAGCTTTCGACGACGACGTTTGTTCCACCGCGCCGAGACTTGCGATTAATGTGTTACGAGGGTATCTCCTTTTTTTTTCTTTGCTGCCTACGCACACTTTCGTTGCGTTCTTGTCTTGAAATGCGCACGCGCGTATTTCGGATCGCTCCCGATGGGGCGATTTGCACGGTAACCTGATCGATCTGTTTGATCGATGATAATTTTTACTGGGCATTCCGCGGATTTTCCGTTGTCAATGATCTGGGCTTGCTTTTCAAGTTGGCTATGTTGTAAGATAAATGAAAGTGACACAAGTATTTCTAGTTACTTGATAATCGCATCTGATTATTGACAAATTTTAATCCATTACAATATAATTCAAGATCAATATTATAAATTAACGTTTACAAGTTGTGCTCTTTATTTTTATTCAAATCACCGGTACATATCACTCGATTATCGAGCACGCACCTAACTTCAGTAAATCAAACTTCTGGTACTCCTATAAGCAACATTCAAATGGGAAAAGCATACGTTGCACTCAACACCTCGCACACCCATGATATTAGCGAAACAAGGTCCGTACAGCGTTCGCTTACTAATGCCTGCATCGTCGACCAGTGAAATCACTCTTCGCCGAAGTAGAAATTTCAAATTACAGATTCGATAAATCGTCACCCGCGAGCAAAATTAAGAGGCTGTGGCGCACCTACATAGCAACGTAAATCCTGCGTAACACGCTTGGCTCGACGCCAGAGACTATGTTAATGTCACTGCGGTAATTAGACGACTAATAACAAGGCTACGCGACGCGAAGGGCTGCGGCTCACTAACACACTTATTTTTCGCAGGATAATTCAATCGATTGTTGTAAGCTGTATTTTACTTTTACTTGGTAGTTCGTGGCAACATTATGACGATTCCTTAAATTACTTTGGATTATTATTAATAAAAAGTTGGATTGTCGTAAAAGTTTTATTAACACAATATCATTTACAAAATTTAATAAGCACAATACGTACAAATATTTTTCAGTCAAACTTATTTACATCACGTACTTTCAACTACTTTATTTTAAAAATTCACATTTGACCTACTTTCACAATTTTAAATCTATTTCAAACCAAATTCTTTAAAAAATAAAACATCATTAAGTAATATGAAATCATATAGGCACAGTCAAACAATAAGTACAAATTAGCAATAAATAATTAAGCTAAGTTCATCAAATATATCATGAACAAAAAACAAACAAAAAATGTATAAAATGAAAAGTTATATAGTTATGTATATTATTTCAAAAAACCTTTTAAATAAGAATACGGCATTCAACTATAATTTTCACCACAGAATTTCAGCAACGACTTCGTTTATTTCTCTTCTTTCCTTCTTTATTCGAAATAATATAACGTTGAGGTACTTTCAGAGGTGCTGAGTATCCGTCAGCATTAGTTTCATCTTCAAACAATACCTCATAATCTTCCTGTGCTGTCGCGGGCTCGGAATGAATTTTGGCTTTATAGAAGCATGTAGTTTGTGGATACAAAGCCATAACTGAAATAATTATATTTTAACAATATTGCGCCGTCAACGTGTCATTATAAATTTAAAGAGAAAATAACATTACCTGTCAAACCAGTCGAAAACAAAGCATGCGAATCTGTTTCAGGATTTGCCCTCATAAGAGGTAAAGGTATAACACGTCGTCTCGATACTGTATATTTTTGTTTTTCCTCTTCATCCACGTCGTCGATCTCATATTTGTTTGTGGTATGATTATAACTGATCACTTCGGCCAGAATCCAATTTTCTTCCTCCTCTGAGTTTTTGACAAATGCAGCTACCATGTCACCCATCTATCAATATATAATATATAAACAGTTAATTGATAATATATACTGACTAGATTACACTAATTTTTAAAATTATATTAGACGTTCGCAATACTAATAATAGGATATACAATCGAAAGGCCGCCATTATACTACAAGCAAAAAATGAAATGTAAATACACATTTTACCTTGGCTACGTGAGATGATTTTGCTGGGATAGCTCCACACAGAGGTGGTGGCTCTTCACCGGGTACCTTACTTATGTAAAGCGGTAATGTTTGAGCAGTAACTTGTAGCATTTTCATTAAAGTTCCACGTCTAATAGCTTCTTTGTTCCCAGCGTTTCGAGCCTACGATGTAATGACGGATTTATTTAAATTATTAGACGCAACATTATTTCAACAAATTTTATGCAAACGGCAATTTTTTTATTTATTCAAATAATTCAATTTTACTTGTAATCTTCTTTGATTAATAATCGATCTGATTTCCTCAATTTTATCCAATGCATCTCTCAACAATTCTTCTTCTTGTTTAGCATCATCCACTGCTCTAGTATAAATAAACTTTAACTTTCTTTGATCGACAGTGTTTAATTCTTCTTCGACATTGATTTCTTCTTGAATTCTTTCTATATTTTCCAGACTATATTCAGAATGCTTTCGAGCATCTTCAATTTCATGAACTAATGAGTGTATATGTTTTAGTCTCTCCTGAAAATAAAATTTAATATACAAACAAAACCCTCACTCGTATACGTTTCTGTTTAAATTTTTATAAACATCAAATTTTAATGTAATAAAATATCGAAATTTTTTCGTTTGCGACTAAGCTATTTAATACACGCTGCAATAATGATATATATAAAGCATCAAAATGCTCAGATGTCGTTCTCATGTTTTGCTGTCTGATAATTATAATATTAATAATTTAATTACTCTTACGTTTCAAAAAATTTAAAAAAATGTCGCGGTAATATTTAATACATGTAATAATGTAAAAATTAAATTACGGCCTAATTCAAAATATTGACAGCATAGCGCGCATAAACGCAATAAATGTATTTCTATATCTAACTCGTGTCTTTAAGTGAGTTTCGCGCGCTTTTGCTTTTATAGTTTTCTGTTATTATATTATTTGAACCTTTTATATGCCATCTTGGAAATCCTAATAGTCACGAATAAATCATGCTATTTGAAATACATTACGTTCATTTATATTCACGATAAATAAAAATAGAATTTGCATCTATTTTTTTACAAAAACCAATGAACTTTTACTGATTTCAAGATGTATCGGAAAAATTATCCAAAAGATTAATTAAACCTACAATTGATGAAATGTAATAAGCTATTATATTATTTTACAAAACTATGCATATTCAATAGCAATGGTTACGGCCCAGTCTTATATTAGTATGAGTAATACATTTAACATCATGTTATTTTTATTGCCTCGTTCAAAACGTCCGTGAATATTGTTTACCTTTCACGGGTTTAATATTCTGATAATTTGTTTCTGTTGCCTGTATACCTCTCAATTTACAATGTACAAAAAATGGAAATCCATTTTCCTCCATTTTATTCTATTACACTTTTTTTCTCTACAAAATGTTAAGACGACGATATTAATTTCAGTATCACAGATGGTTATAAACTTATCGATTTGTACTGTTGATTTCAAAACATAACCTCTTATGTCCTAAAAATAATTTATTAACGTCATATTTCCATTCTTGTAGATTATTATTTATACTAATCATTCATAAATTAAATTTACTGCTAAAATATATCTCACATTCCTAGATATATAACACAAATATTTCAAAGTACACGAAAATTCAAAATGTCGTGTTCTTTTTCAGCATGATCCAATAACAATGGTAGATAGCGGTGATTCATCATTTTTTTAAGATTAATATTAATATTAAGATAACAAAATAAAATATAGGAGGAAGAAAGAGGAAATAGGATATGGCGGAATGCGTGGCTTCTGCTCTCCTTGACTCGTATAGGCTTGAACCACGCCAGTCGGCGTTGATGCTAACCCTACTCTGGATGCAAAAACATTAAAAAAAACTATCAAATAATTTTACCTGTATTTGTTGAGCGACATTGTCAGTTGTGAACGGCATGGTTTCTAGTTTACTAAACCACAACACTTATTGTTTATTAATTGAATATTTGTTTTATACGTGTATTCAAACGCGAACATTAGGTTTGAATTTAAACGTTTCACACAAATTTCACTGATGCACTGTCAAAAACACTGATGATCTCTAAGTAAAAACTCAATTATAATAAGTGACGCTGAAATAATTCTGTCAACTTCAACGAAAAACGCAACTGTACATGATTTGATATTACAGTGTAGAATGACAGACCAGAAAAACTCGTAGATCTGCAGCGGGGTTGCAACGAGCATGCCCCTTCTCCAAACACAAGCCACAGCTGATATTCCGAAACAATGCGAAAGAATGAGAAAAAGAAACGTTGCCAAAAGGGCCGGTAGTTAAAATGATCCTACTACAGATGGCGTGGTTATGGTGTTCCTATAATACCGTATAATGGTACTATAGGGCCAATGTCGTATAGGGCTCTTTATTTAAAAAGAGCAGTTTTATTTTTGTACCAAATTTACTAATGCTCCTGTAGTTCTTATTTTCTATTTCTTTAATGAAATTTTTATTGTATTTTATTTTTTTCCGATTTCTTATGTTTTTAATAATTCGAAAAACATTCTGCATTAATAAAATAATATTTTCGAAAAGATAATCCATAATTCCTAGTTCAATAAAAAAAAGCTTAAAAAGCGTATAAAGATTTTTTACGATTTAACATTAATTTTTATTTCGTAATGTCTTTTACTGTTATTTTGTCATCAATTTGAATTAAAATTACTTAAATTATTTTATCTAGGGAATAAGGCAAATCTATTATTTTATGCTTTTTAACTTTTTCATTACCCTACGTTATAAATAATTTATCTATTACGGACCTATAAAATTAGTCGTAGCTATCTTGAAACAAAGAAATGGCTCTATGAAACTTGTTACAAATCACTGTCATTCTAGTTAGCCCTTTCAAATTAAAAAATATTCATTTCATTATTTCGCTTAAAAAATATTAATTTATTATTTCAAGTACAAAGTTCTGTTCATCTTTCGAATGAAACTATCCATAATTGAATAGATCGTAAAGTACTCAACGCCCCAGCTTTATTTCGCGGCAATTGTCACAGGCGCTCACAGGCTACCAAATCGGTGCGTAAAACCACTTTAACTTCCCAGTACCTCTAACCCAATTTGCAATCTTATTATCGTCAGTTTTGGGGCAGGAGCTTCCCGGTCACCACTAATGTTGAAGTTTAAATCGCATCAAACTTTTCCCGTATAGTGGTACATGCATACGAAAATCAACACTTTCGATTATTATGTATCAATCCATCAGCATAGATCACTGAGTTTCACAATTCATGCAAAGTAAACAATAATTTATCACAGCCATTATTCATTTTCATCGTATTGAAAATGTGAAAGTGTCTGATGATCAGTTGCCACCCGCGGCTAGAAGAAGGTACAAAGTGCCTATAACCAGGAGGTTTTTAGGATATAGGAGGGCAGTGATTTATTTATATTTATAAAACATTTCCAGTATATTCCAACTGTATAAGTGAAAAAATATTTAAATATTTTAAAAATATTGATATTGGTCAAAACAAATATAATTTCTTCAAAATTATATAAATTGGCTGCAGTTTATATACATACAGTTGTTACATGTACAGTTAGTGTTCGCCCCACGATTTCACTCAGAAGTGTCAAAAGTTGATGCTTCTTCTAACTATTCACAATCTAGCTATAAATAGTACAAAAGTTTCGTTTAACTACGTGTCGAAATTCCCTAGAAAACAAATTATAACCGTAGGGTACAGGAGGCAAGTAGACGACACCAGTGAAAGTAAATTTATGAAGTGTACATTTTTAGAATAAGAAAGTGTTTATAAATCACGGGCACTGGTATGCAACTATCTTTCGTCGAAAGCAAATTCGAATATGCCAAGTAGGGGAAAGCGACAAAAGCTTGCTAACGCATCGAGTTATCGAGTCTCCAAGGAGAGGAGGACAGGCTACTTTTTGAGGGAAGGCGAGTCGGCCTTACTCTTATTTCATTTTCATCGAATTACTCTGCATGTAAGGTCTTTACTTGCTCAGTTAAAAAATATACATATAGTTTTCCTTTTGCTATACATATACACATACATTTCTCGTCACTTATTTATAAAAAAAATTACAAATGATACATGTAAATTCGGTAGACTTACGTGCACTTGAATGATTGATTGTTGGAAAACAAACAAGTACAGATAAAAACTACACAAAAAATTTCGTCGAAATACCAGATAAGAAGAGTGTCACTGGTGTTTATGCTTACGTCGACAACAAAATATTAGTATATATTATCATCAAGCAATTGTCACTTCAACCTTAATACATTTTTGTATAAAGCTTCACAGATAAAATATTTTTTACAGAACTATGCTATACAACCAATCAACTAAAACAAATAATAAAAATCACGTCTATATAGCGAAATAATAAATTATGCATTAGTTCGAATGTGTCAAGCAGAGAATGAGAAATGCTTTTTGTAATGCACTGTGTTATCACATACAAAGTTATTTTTAAATAAAGTTCTAATAAAACTTACGTAACAAACGGGCACTGCAATTATAAAATATAAAAAAAACTTTCATAGACTACGCTGAATAATGCACGAAATAAGTTGGTGTACCATTTGTTTGGTTATGAGTTGCGCGAATATTTTGTTTTTGACGTAATCATAAAGACCAGTGACAGCTCAAAATCATCGTTAATTTTTTATGATTAAATCGTTAGATAGTATGCTTCAAAATTGATTAGTCGTAATCCAGATTACAATTATACATTATATTAATTACATTGATCAATATTAGTATTTTCAAATATTAAATATGTTTTATTTGGACATAGCATTGAAACGAAGATGCAATAAATATTTCCCGTTTACTATAGTGACGCCAGACCAGCATTTCGCGTTCTGAACTTCTTTTTCAATACTTGTCATATTGAATAATATATATTTAACATAAACTAAATTTTCAAAGATGAAGTTCCCAATTTTTTTTGAAAAACACAAATCACAGCGGAAAAATATGTATTAGGCCCGTGTATTTCAAATTCATGATTGATCATATGGAAAATAATTTTTGTTCTTTTCCAATATTCGATTTAAATAAGTATTAAAAGTTTGTTTTCTTAGAATAAAGATTGCGACATTACAACATTTATTTTAACCTTGAACATTCAAATATCAGATTATCAATTAGTAATAGGAAATAATTAGAAATAATTCCAAAGCATAACCTTTTGTTCTTACGTTTTTGAATTTTTACTACTAAACTCTCAATTCGAAATTATATGTACACACTTATATTTGTCACCACATAAAAGCACGTCAATTCAAATCAAATCACGAATAAAGTGCTTCAGCATGAAACCCATAAATTTTTTATTACTATATATAATATAATATAATATAGTTAACTAAAATATATACAATGTTCCAGACTATTTCAATCAGTTCCAGGGATTTAGACAACTTATTTTTCTGAATCTTGGTATAAATATTGTCCATGTAGCAATGAACATCAGTGTGAATTATCTGTTTTGTAGGAATGAAAAACATTTGTACAAAATACCAAATTCATACTGAAGTTTACAACTAAATAAACAATATTTATATCAAGATTTAAAAAATCGGTTACCTATATGTCTAGAGTTAATCGTAATAGTCTGAAATGCACCACATAATTAGCTATCTATAATTGTATGGAGGCATTATTTCGCTTATTATTTTACTAGCTTCATTAGGCTTGTTATGTATAATAATTCACTATAACAAATATAACAAATAACACTTATTGTAAACTTACCATCATTATAGCACATGAGCAATCATAATAAAAAAAAATTACTTTTACAAACATAAACATACATTTTTACTAGTCACAATATAATATTATATCATAGTTCAAGATATACATCCAATGTTAATATAATAGAAATATTTGATGAAGCTAGTTAAATAACTAATTTAGTTTTGCCTAATTATACGAACGAAGTTGGCTAGTTATAGCTAGAATCTTTTGTTATTACTTATAATTTTCAACCTGGACTAGTGATTTTTTGTCTACATTTTAACAATTTAATAAATGAACATTTATATCACAAAAATTACTCTACGTAAATGTTGTTTTACAAGAAAGTACACCTTCAATGATGATGATTTTTATTTAATTTTATTGGAGCTATTTTTGAGCGATGCAACGATAACCTAATAACACAGTTTTCAATACAAAAAATTCTAATTTAGTGAAGGCAATTAAGATCAGAGCTTGATTGCTGGATTCGGGGACCACATGAGCCACAAATGTTTACCACAACCGCGCCGATGTAGCTCTAGCTTACCAACTAGAATATATTTTCTTTAGAGCCTTGAACTGTGGAAACGAATTTTGTGCACGATGGAACAAGAGGAAATACACCGATGCTGAAAATGTGACGCTTTTTGTCTCTTCGATTTGTAATTTTATATCATATTTATATATATTTATAAACGATGCACTTCTGAAGAATTTTATACCGTTAATATTATTATTAGTATTTTAGAGTTAATTATTGGCGTGTGCCAATGACATTAAAATTTCGTAGGATCAGTATAGCGCACTATATTTTTTATTTAATTATAATTAATGTATTTACGAGAAAACGGAAAATAGATGCATGTAGCAAGTTTAGTCGCAGGCAAAACGTCTAGAAATGTGCAAACGCACATAATGGGCCGGGCAATAAAATCACTTCGTGATTGGAGTGCGGCATGACCTTTACAATACTTTCCTATTATTTATTTTTTTATGGACTATGCAATGTTGCTGCTTTTATTTCCGGCACGTGTGGCCAAGGTCGAGTTTCGGCTCGACTTGTTAGAAAAGGTACTAAAATAAACCGTAAATGTAATCGGTGTAGTCAATGCGTCATCTGAGTATTTATGACCCCGAAATATAAAAATGTGCAAGTTTTTGTTATTAATATGAGCGTCACCGGAGTATTTACCACCCCGAAATGCAATTAATTTGACCAATGTCAGCGATGAGGGTTACTCGGATAAGAGCTACAGCTACGTATATATGGTCGCTATATACCATCACGCGCACAGACAACGTTCTTCCATTTAGCCGAGAAAAATGCTGCATTGGAATCGCCCACGGCCTTTCCACACGTAGCAGTACAGAGATGCATTTCACTTTAAAATACACGCGTTTGTTTGACGATTTCGATTTAGAGTTTCAAAGTTGAATTTTCATTTATTTCTGATTAACGTTACATATTGTAA